AGATAATACTTGTTCTGTTACACGCTGCAGTGTTTCAGCTATTATCACTGGGCACAAGAAGCCCCCAACCTACCCCGAGGGGAGGGTGGGTGTCAGGCCCCAGAGCTGTGGGCTTCAATAAACCCCGGCCCCCGGAGTGATTTAGTTGAATAGCCCTGCTCTAAATCATCTAATGATGCAGATATTATGTTAGAAGTGTAAAAAAACCAAATCAAAAACTTGTAAAACATTTTGACATTTTGAAAAAAAATTGCTTAAGTCTATTAAAATGCATTTCCAAGAGGCAGTCCACAAATTTTGTTGAAGAAAATATTAGAAAGCTGTAGCAWTTTGTTTTTGTTTTTCTCTGAGGCAAGGAAAGTGCTTTTATGCCCAAGTAATTTATTTTTTTTTCACCCGTTGAGATTATATTGAGCTTTTGAGCAGGAATCRTTTTTGTTGCCTTTGCTTCTGTTTTGCGCTGAATTCCTTTAAGATTAGGCATTTCCTGATGCCGTCCTTGATAGAGAAATGCCTAGAAATTCCTCTTTCTCCTGCTCACAATCTCAAGTAAAGACAGTCTTTTCAGCCTCACAGCCATTGAAAGGTCACCAGCAGAGGAAAAATGGAAAAAAAAAATGGATTTTTCAGTGGCGATGTCACAAAGCTCCTGAAACCGYGAGGTGAAATATGTGCTTACAAAGCCACAGAAACTGTGACTTTATTCCATCCACAAATCAAATTCAAAACAATGTCTGCTCACTGCAATATGACATTTTCACACCTTTCAGGCTGTAAATATCATAGCTACATCTTATTTTTGCTTTGAGCCTCYCTAAAGCTGGGGTTTTGCAACAACAAATTTATTCCAAACAATTTATCAGGTCATGCTCGTAAGTTTTTATGATGTCTAGAGCAGTGGTTCCCAGACTTTTTGTCTTCTGACCCACAAACTATCCATGGCAAAAACTTGTGACCCCAAATATTACTGGTCTGAGTACATGAACTTCGTTAATAACCTTAAAAACACAGGCTTTTTGACAATCTAAACAGCTTATACACAAATATAACTACTTATTTATACTTATTTTGTGTTTTTGTAATAATTATAGGGAAAATATTACATCTGCAATTATTTTATTACCCTTTAAAT